TAGCCTATCGTTGATTTTTATGTTTAGAAATAAATTGTGTGGTGGTATAATTTACATATTGTTATTCTATTAATTATACTATTATAATTATGAATGGGCTTGAAAATGGCATCAAAATTATTGTTTTGTAAGTTTTACTATGTGAAAAATTAACCCTTAGTCCAGTGCCTAGTTGATCATTAACTAACTAATTAACTCGACAAAAAACATACTATAATAAAGTTTTTTTTATGTAATCGGTCGGCAAACGAGCAGACGGATTACCTGATGGTAAGCAATCAGCGCCGTCCATGGACACCCGCAACGGTGGAGTTACGAGTGAGTTGCTGACCTTTTAAGGATTAGGGATTTGGAGATTTAAGGATTGAGGAGGGATTGGGGGAGGGGACGGATTGGGCCTCCGGTAACTCACTCACACGGCGAAACACAACGCTGAGGTTGTTTCACGCCGGTTTTCTGTGAGGTCGTGGTATCACTCCGGTCGAGCCGACCTATTTGTGCCGAAGCATGGCTCTCCCACACTTAAGTTGAACCAAAAAGTATTTAGTTCTCTTTTATTTTATTAAAATCCTATTTCAAAAAATGAACACTTCATTGTATCCTTTATCCTTGTGAAAAAACCTCGATGTCGGACGTTTTATTTTACAAGTTACTTGATACGAGTCTAACGTCAAACTTTTCACTTAAGCTGTATTCGTCGCATCTGTGAATTCACAGTCGAAGCTTTACGACTGAACTTGGTATAACTCGATAGGTACTGTGTACAAGTAGGTATGTATGTATATATGTACCTCTAGCGTTGAGAGAGCGTTCTTAAGTGGTTCGTAAAGAGTTATATGTTAAACATCGGTTGACGAATGTGGAAGTTTCTTCGAGCTTCGGTGTGAATGTACCGTCTTAACTGAGCTTCACAAGAATCTGCGTGAAACAACGCTGGCGTTGTGTTTCGTCGTGCGAGTGAGTTTTTCGGCACATTTATTTCACTCCCCATTTCAGTTTTCAATCCTCAAACCTGTAACAACCTAACGACTACGCATTTGTAAACCTTCTGGTGTTGTTATCATCAGGTAAAAGGTTAAATGCCGCTTTATACCATAAAAAATGTGTCATCATGCTTAATGGGAGAATTAGAGTTCATAATGTCTGATTGTGTCTCACATAATATTATTATTTGAATTGTCTTTATAATATGTAATATTTGATTTAATTATCTTGTTAGTTAATACAAAGTCTCAAATATAATTATGTTACTTAAACATTGTACCTTCCTGTGATATATTTGCTATTAACTTTTGACAGGCGTTTTTGTTATACGACAATATTGTTATGAAATTTAATTGTTTTAGTTAGTAAATAATTTTTGCTTGTATTATAAAACGTGGCGGTTCCTCGACCATTAGATTACTCACATGATATTAAATATATAAAATCATATTTACTTTGACAAAAACAATGCCATCATGTACTTATCTACACAAATACGTACGTGGAACGAAAACTTTAAAAAAAGAGTGCTTAAGACTTATTTGTGAGATTATTAAATATACCACTCAAACAGTCACAAAACTATAACTTATAATAGAACTATCATAAACCAACACAGACAAGGTATTGTTTAGAAAAATAAAAACTATTTACGAGACGCATTCTGTAATAAAAAGTTGCTATTATATTCTGCGGTCAGCCACGTTGTACCTACATCTCAAAAATGTTGTTCGTTTATAGCTGTCAGTTTACGAGTTCATTCCCTTAGTTTACTTATAAAATGTAATGAAGACAAACTGACGGATTGTATAGAAAAGTTTAGTGCAGAAGGTTGAGCGGTATATTGTGATTTAAGGGGATGAAGTTGTGAAGAAAACAAGGAATTTTAGCTTTGAAATTCTTTTACACAGTGTGATCATTAAATTTTGAAATAATCCATTTATGGAACAGAAACAGAATCCATTTCTTTAACAGATCTTTTAAAAGCTCTTTAAATCTTTAAATTCGATAGTAAGCAATCGCCGTCGCACATGGATACCCGCACATGCGGGCCAGCTTGTGTGTATGTGTGTGTGTGTGTGTGTGTGTGTGTGTGTGCGTGCGTGCATATGTGAGGTGTGTGTGAGTGCGCGCGCGTGTTTGTGTGTGTGCCGATAAAAATCTAAGTATGAAAATATACTACAAAACTTATTCTCGCCATGAAATAATGTATTGTCATGATAGAGCTTCTGTGTTTATACTTATCTATGTCCAAAATTACCAAACCAAAGAAACAACCACTTTTAGTTAGCGTAGCAAAGTTTATGACCATATTTATACGCCTATTATTTTGTAATAATAAAATAATATTTGGATTTTAATTGTTGTTTGGAACATCTGCTTTGTTTTGTATTACATTATTTAAGTAGCATGTAGGGCTTTTCACGCCGATTTATTGTTTTAGTGACTGCAGCCGACCCGTTGAGATATTTGTGTCATTGCATGTTTTTTTTTATAATTTAACTAGTGACCCACCCCTTCTTTGCACAGGTGGAATGTAAGTGTAACTAAATATCTCCACTATTTAATGGATGTTATTATTGATATCCAATAATGTATCTGCTTAAATAACCGCATTAAAATCCGTTGCGTAGTTTTATAGATTCAACCTGTTTCAAACTGTTAATAAATGTTTTTTTTTAGAATTTAATTTTATACCTATATAATATGTGTACAGTTGAACGGGACGCTGCTTTGGCACCAATGGGCGTATAGAATACTGGCTTTCTATGATTATTTAGACACCACTGACATACGGTGAAGGTAAACATCGTGAGGAAACCTGGACTTATAATTTTTAATTATAAGTTTGAAATCGCCAACCCGCATTGAGCAAGCGTGGTGATTAATGCTCTAACCTTCTCCGTATGAGAAGAGGCCTTTGCTCAGCAGTGGGCACTTATAGGCTGATAATGAACGCGCTTATTGTAACTCTTTTGGTATTTCGAGTGTCCATGGGCGGCGTCAATCAATATCGGTTTGCTAGTTTCCTAATTTATGCCATAAAAAAACTTTAAAAAGGTATTTGAAGTAGCAATTTTAGATTCTATTGGCTATACCACGTTTAGTAAATCCAACCCATTACACGCCACGTGGTTCTAATTCCCCAAAAATGAAACCGAAGTAATTTCGCCATCTTCTAACACAAAAAACAAATTACTTCCTCAAAACTCTCCAGGGTTGTCGCTTAGTATTCAAGACCCGTGCAACAGAACACCTACTCTATTATGCGAAACGTCATTTGTCCGGTAGACGCGTCACCCTTCAGTGGCAGTCCTCTAATTAAAGCACTCAGCTGACAACCCTGAATATTGACAGAGAACCGATGCGATTTGAATTTAGCTCATCGTTCTAGTTCCAAGTGATTCGTATGATTAACGCTAGCTATCATTCGAGTGCGTGCTTATTCGATTAATCGAAGCTGAATGAATCGATTCAATACCACATACCTATTATAATGAAATATCTTCGGTACTGAAAATATATTATGAGTAATGTGCTTGTAAGTCATAGACGGGATATATTGGAATATTTTTTATATAACATTTTTACTTTCACACACTGGGCAATTAATATATAAATGTAGACTCAGTATTGAAATATTTCTCAATTGATTAATAAAATATATTTTGCATTGTATGAACGTGGAAATAAATAGTTTATTCGATTAGGGGTTAGATGTTATTCAAACTATAATTTTAAACCTTAAAGTTTATCAGTGTGTACGTATGTATGTTTGTTTGTTACGCTTTTACGTAAAAGCTACCGAATGAATTAGTTACATAAGAAATTTTACTACTAACGAAACCTATCACTATTAAATGTAGACGCCAGTTACACATATTATGCACACGTATTCAATTATATATACTAATATTATAAAGAGGTAAAATTTGTAAGTTTGTGTGTAGGAGTAATCTTTGGAATAGCCGGTCGGATTTCCGAAATTCTTTCACTAATTGATAGCTACATTGTTCCCGAGTACTATAGCCTATAAAACATCATGCTACAATGAAATGGAGCTGAGCAGCGAGTGAAACCCTGCGGGAGTAGCTAGTGGTTAATATAAATAATGTAAAACCATTGCATAGCATTCATAATGTAAACAAATTGTTTCATTCGATGCATTTATTACTTATAAAACATCCACAAGGAAGCATGCACCTCAGCTGTATGTATGTTCCTTAATAACATTTAATACACGAACGGCTCAATTAAATTACCGTAAATATGTTTAACGATAAAATTATTAATGATGCGATTGATGGCAATCCAACCGCCTACCGTGTTTACCATATAAATAAATATTACATTTTATATCTCTAGCTACTTATAGAATTGTTTAATTAATACCCAGCCCGTTTATTTTAACGTTTTATTATTCATAAAGTTCTTAATTAATAAACACGCTGTGCATTTTAAATGTTATACAGTTTATTGTTTTGTGGTAGAATTTGTTTGGTAAACTATATGGTATGAAGTATTCATAGTTGTGTCAGTCATTAGCCAGTATAATTGCTGATACCTTAGTGTCTATTTTCCCTTGAACGTTAGAGTTCAAGATTTTGAAAGTTTAACTAGATGGCGGTAGAGCTTCACACAATATTTTTTCTGTTTCTTATTTAATTATTTTATTTCATCAAACCCCAAGCGAATGCCGGCGTTCGCGCACCAATTGCTCTTTTATTGTGTCTCGCATTACCATGATTCAATCGAGGCAAGTTAAATGACATTGTAATTAATGCATTGATATTTTTCCTTTTCTAAGTCGTGTAACAGGCATAAGTTATAATGCCGATGATTATTAACAGTATAGGATTTGAAAAAAAAAGTTTGTTATTATCTCCATGTTTTATTAAAAACTTTTAACTAAAACCATTATAATAAAGCTATTTATAAACTTCATATTATAAGTAAGCAAACATTTTGGATCTTAATGTTTTAGAACATTTTAGTATTAATATACACAGATATATTGTTCTTCATTCTTACACTGGATTATAATACAAAACTAATATCAATTAAAGAGATAAATCCTTAATAGGTACGGCCTTGACGAATGATTGGATGTCATCCTTAATTTCATGAATAATCTTGGAAATGATAGGTTTGGCGAACAATTTCATAAGTTCCGACCAATTTTCATCCAAAATCTTCTCGATGGGTGCAGCTGAAAAAAAACACAAATTACAATGGTTTACAATGTCTGGATAGATACTTTATAACAGACTAGCTTTTGCCTGCGACTTTGTTCGAGTGGAATTGTGGAAACTATTCCACGATTCACTAGATGAAGTCACTAAACTTCCTGCAGATTTTTGGTCCCTTTATATGTCCTTTCTTGAGTTCCAAACTATGTCTGTACCAAATTTCACAGAAATCGGTTCAGTATTTTAGGCATAAAAAAAGACAGACTGTGTTATTTTCGCATTTATAATATTAGTTTGGATTTGGATTTAATTGGACCCTGTCTCGCTTCAACCTGTCACAGTCTAGATCTAGGTTCTGTAATCTTACCTTTGGTCTTGTCTCCGTTGAAGAGATTTTTGAATTCAAGTAAAGTCTTCTCTTTAGCTTCGTAAGTGTATTCGAATTTGCCGATCTTCCAATGTTTCTCTCCATCAGACCCGTCAACAGTTGATACAGCTACTTTAGCTGAGATGTAGATGTTGTCTGGATGTAAAAAATATGGCTTTAATAAGGGTTCTTCTTTCGATGAAAAATCATCAAATAATCTCTACCGCTTTAAGCGGAACGGAAGGGAATGATAAAGTCTTACTGATTAAAAAACCATCTTATTCGCTGTATTTGACTATCTGTCATTTCAACCATGAATGGATTGAAGGAAATACTTTTAATACTTAGAATATTTTCCGGTATCACATGTACATATAATAAAAATACATTTTTATTGAGTTAATATGGTCATCATTGCTTGTATCTTTTCCGCATGAGAAAAGTGTCCTTAGTCAAGGACTTTAGTTACAGGGAAATTGTATAATTGTTAAAGTTATCTAAGTGAATGATTCTTACTAGATTTCACGCGGAAGGGACCGTGACCTTCGATGGGCACAAACAGCAGTTGTCCAGAAGCAGTATAAGTACCCACGACATCGATGGGAGTTTCAACTTCAAGTTTCAAATAAGTAGGTGCTTCGTCACGCCTGTTGAGTCACAAATAAATAAATTAAAATATATTTTAATGTAATGTCCAAAATATTTTTTTAATAATGTACACCATCATAAAAAAGATAACATAGCTATTGTCTTCCTACGAGCGTTATGTAGATTTTAATGCTAATGAGATTATTGTAATATTCATAAAGTCTATGGGTTTTTAAATTTATGATTATTTGTTTATCATCATTATCAGCCTGATTTCGCCCTCTGCTGGATGTTCAGCTCTTTTCATCCAACCACTGCCAGCCACCCTGCGGATATCGCCAGTCCAAATAGCTGGAGGGCGCCCTACACTACGTTTGCTAAGTTTGCCTAGACGTAGTCTCCGCTCAAGAACACGTCCGCTCCAACGGTCTAACAAAATAATTTGTTATTTATATTGATTTACTAATCTAATTCTTTGCAATTACGTTGAAGTTTCTTGTAAAAAATAATATTAGATTTGTTAAAAATACTCACTCCATGTTCAATATTTTGCACTTGCTTGGTCCGCTAACTTTGAAGTCTTCAAAAATGAGGTTCAAGCCACTTTCGTCTAATGAGACTTTGTCAATGTGGATGGGGTCCAAAGGCTTAACTCCGTACTCGGGTAAGCCATTTCCAAAGAAGGGAACAGCTTTTTGCGCAGATGTCTTCAGGCAGGTTTTGTCTTTCCATTCGCACTTGTCAATGAAAGGCACTGTGGATGAAAAGCAATAATATGAAAAATAAAGGAAAAGTGAAATGAAAAAAGTAAATTAAAATGTTGGCTTCATGATTTTAATAGCTGACTAAGTGTTTGCAGACTACGTGGAAATATTGCCTTGTAGAAGATTTAATCAGTATCTTCTTTAAGGAACAAGTTTTCAGGGTTTTAATCTCAAGAACATCACCGAGACAGTTTTGCTTACAAATCAGGAAAAAGTGTTGATCGGTAGTTACTTTTCCATTAGGTATTATAACATTGGATACGCAATCCTTTTCTTTGCAATCCCTATCCTTCAGATCACGTTTCAATAAGCCGGGAACGCATTTGCCACTCTTCTTATGTTATAGGCGTCCATGTGTGGCTACGATTGCTTACCATCAGGCAATCCGTCTGATCGTTTATCAACGTATTTTTTTTTGTGTGATAAGTCTTCAAACGAGCACATGTATTACTTGATGGCAAGCAATGGGCACCGTCCATGAACACCAAGAGTTTAAAGTGCGATATTCTTTTGAGGATGTCGGAGATTTAGATATTGGGGAAGGATTGAGCATGAAAATTCCAGATTCTGCTGAGTAATTTCGATTCAACCTTTAAAGGACTTTAAGACTTTATTCTGGTAAGACCAATGATTCCAACTCATTTTCTATATAAACGTTCGTTTTATGGATAAGGGAAGAAAACAAATTTACATGCTCTCCAATTATCGATTAAAGGTATAGCAGTCTATCACGGAGCCATAGCAAAGTGGATTTACATGAGTTAACCTTAAACATATTGTACCTGGATCGAAATTTAATTAAAGGGTACATCTCTACTCCTAGATGGATTAAACAAAAAATAAAAATATTGTTTCTTACCCGCGTTACCATAAGCGCTGATGATGACATAGCACAAACAAAACAATAAACACTGTGACTTAAACATTTTAATTATATTTATTTGAAAATTTAGTTAGATCAGATTATCAACCACTTCTATGATCTGATAGGATGGAACTGATGTCGAATTTTGTAAGCCGCGCAATATATAGCGTTTCTGAGGTCGGCTCGGTAGCGTCCTAATAGTTTTTGTGCTTGGAGCCTCTAACCTTGTTGTTACCCGTATCTTCGTAAAATATATGTATATTCAACTTGTTTACTTTTTTACAAGCTCATTTAGGCCCAAATTATTACATTTCCTTTTTTTTATATTGTGTACAATGTATTATGTTAATTATGTAAAATTGGAGCCTCATAATTTAATATACATATCCAAAAAATTTATCCGGTATCTACTTAATATATTTTAATTAGGAATTTTTGCATCTCATTTAAGTTTGTATGTATCTTGAAAATGTTTACATTTTTTTCTAGTCTCAAACATTCCTCTACTAATATATAAAACCTCATGTTTTTACGAAAACAAATCTTGACTCCAAAAACTTAAGGATGAAATTTTCACAATAGCAATGATGAGGGGATACATTGAAAAAGGAATACAGATTTGTAGATGGAAGAAGAAATGTGTACTTATACTTATCAATATAACTTCGGGATAAGCAAATATTTTGACTTATAGTGTAGGACTAGGGGCAATATTCAGCTGAGGTCGTTGTTGCCAGTGCAATAATGGCACATATAAACAAAGACCAGAGAGTTCCAAATTGAAACTCTTCGGCTTGAGCGGGAGAAAGAACCAGTAAGAGTCTTACACTCCGTTTTACCCCACCTAGGGCGCGGGCGGTAGAAATCATTAGATGATTTTCCCGGCGCAATAAAAACCACAAAAACATATTGCATAATTAATATTGCCACTAACATTTTCATCGAATCTGTGCCTTTGATCATTGTTATGGTAAAGAAATAAAAAATGAGATAATCTTTAGGATAAAATATTGGTCATAGACATCTATTAATAACACGCTAAAAACAAGACACTCCATAGCTTATGACTTCAGTTTTTTGGTGGATATTCGTCCTTTTTTTGATTTTGTTACGACTGTTGACGCAAATGTGACGTTATGATATCTTGGTGCTGTTTAAAAATAAAATTATGGAGCAATTTCAATTTCGGATAAAGAGAGCCTTTAATCTTTATATTTAAAAATTTCGTGTCACGTGTTTGTCCGCGATGGACTTCTAAACTACTAAACCGATTTTAAATTTGATTTGCATTGCGTGTGCATTTTGATCCAACTTGAAAGATAGGATAGCTTACATCTCAATTTATAGTCACAATATTATTTACCTTTGCCAAAGCAACGCGTGGCTGGGTCTGCTAGTATTTATATAAAATTGTAACTGCTGGTTTGGATCTTTCTCCTTAATTTGCCAACTAAACTTGGTATTTTTGTGGGATAAAAACTACAGATAAAAGATGATATCAGATGAGTAATAATCAGGATAATGTACCCACGGATGCCCGCAGCACTATGTATAAGAGTTAGAAGTGTGTTACCGAGCCGGAGTTGCGGGTTAAGCGCAATATCGTATCGCAGTGGGTGGGCACCCGGTTGGCCTCGGCCTAGGGACAGGAGAAGGAACGGAGTAGTGTCTTAACTTTCAGTCAGTCAATAACTCTCTCTCGCCTGTTGTTACGTACATTTTCTCTCGCCTCACCCTGGGTGAGAGACGACATTTTATGAGATTATGGTCATAAAAAATCGTTACGGTGTTTTTAAGGGTTCGCCATTTAACAATCTTTCTAAACATTTCCATATTACATCGTTTTCATTCTCTCCAGTTAAATTGAATGTTATATACAGGAACAATTAAACTACACATTTATGTACCCGTATAGTAAATAAAATAAAAATAAACAAGAAATAAAATTATTATTTCTTTAAAGAAGGTTATTTTTCAATTATGTATATGTAGACAGCAGTGATGTTAATTCAATATATCTACAGTACCTATATTAAAAAAAGTGCACTTTTTGCTGTTGAAATACATGAAAACAAAGTAAACATTTCAAAAGATAATAACCGATCGTGTGTCAATAACATCGCGGGTTAAATAGAAAAAAGGCCTAACTCAAAAATGAGGATATTCCAAAATTGAACCTTATTATTGAAGCATAATTTTTAAGATTGAAATACTTTATCTTTTGAGTTAGGTCTCTTTTCTGTTTAACAAGCGACATGTTGGGACAAAAACTAAACAATGTTTGAGTAGACAGGAATTGACTAGACAAATGATACTTGGTATAAGATAAGAAATATGTTTTGGGCTATTGAGATGTTTTAAAAATCTTGTGTTTATAAAACGCAGCCATGAGTAGGTATGATAAATTGGCCATTTTATATTAGTTACGTAAATACAGATCTAACTAAGAGTAGATTCAGTAGATCTAACAGAATGAAAATAAGGGTTACAATAATTATTTCTTTTAGAGAAAAATCAAATGAATATTACGCCTTAAATAGGAAAAAAGGTGTAAGGATGGATTCATTTTTGATCTTACTCAATTTTGTCACATAATTTAAATCAAGGTATTGTGTGGCGGGACACAAGGAAACATGAAATGAGGAGTCATGACTAATAGGCCTTAAAGGAGTTTATACTTAGATAATATATTTTTTTATTTGAGTTTATTTGAATAGCTACAGTGACAGACTATAGACTAAAACAATCAGCTTAAGAAAATTATTATACAGTACATACATAAATCTGAGATCCAATTATTTCTGTACACATCAGTCAATGATTGATGTGCTTCATTGGACAATAAAATGAAATAATACGGAAAGAAATGACTGAATGAAATAATATAACAAAAAATAAAGAGATACTTACCGAATTAGGACCGTGTGGATGGCGCAGAGGCTGTTTAATCGGCTCCTATGCAACGTGTTGTAGATTTGACACGTCGGACATAAAACTAATGAGATTTTCTGATTATCAACTCAGGATTGGAAATTTTGCAGTGTTTCATTGCAATATCTTGGAAATCACGTAAAGACGTTGGTCCTACGCGCGATCTCTCCCCGATCGTGTTAGACGCACCGTCTCATCGGATTTAGATTCTGATGGGATAGAGTGCATGTGCACTCTCTCGTGTTTGCGTACTATATTATATCCTGCGTAATGGGCTGTGTAACTAGTTTAGGTAGACAGACTGGCTTCCTTGATTAAAATTGATCAGGAGACCTCATCTATTTCAAACAGTCTACTAAGATTTTGAAATTGTTTTTCATTTAGTTGAGAGGTCGAAAAAAAATGACGTGTTGGCCTGGAGGTTAGAGAGCCCACTTTTCATGCCTGAGGGAGCGGGTTCGAAACCTGCCAAGAACCTATCAATCAAAAAACCTGTCAACCTTTTTCCGATTTCTAAGTACCTTCTGTGAGTATTTAGATACCACTGAAATATAGTAAAGGAAAGCATCGTGAGGAAACCTGATCTTAGAATTTTCAAATATAAGTTTGAAATCGCCAATGAGCAAGCGTGGTGATTAATGCTCAAACCTTCTCCGTGTGAGAATCGACCTTTGCTCAGCAGTGGGCACTTATAGGCTGATGATGCTGCCATGTGAGAGGTCGATTAGGTCCTCATGTCGAGCAGTACATCCTTCTCCAGAGGTCTACGTGTTGTATATAAAAAGGTTATTTGTGAGTCATTTTTAGTTGACCCTTTTAGGCAGGTGAGGTTTTGTTTAATTTTGTTGTTTATCAAATAAAACAATGGTCACAAGACACATCATAATTTAACCGGTTTAATAAATATGACAACTTTTTTTTTCAACTTTATACTTAGAATCTGTTTTTTTTTTGTTTATTTTGACCTTAATTTGTACACGTTATTTTGAACAGGTCGTTTTAGTTTCAAGAAGTGGAAGATTTTGAAATTAATCTTTTGGATGTCGGTACGACAGGTCGTATGGATGGATGCCCGATTTGTCATGTACTTTGTCTATGATCATGCACAAACCTAAAATATTTGTATGCTGTATGAAGAATACATTACTAAGAATACTTTAGGGAGAAGTCACCGTTCCTTATCTCCGGCTTGCTTTTCTAAGCTGGCTAGAGTGAACGATGTTCGTCATCGTACAGGTCCCCCACCTCTCACTCCAGCGTGGGGTTGCGAGAGTAGTGATCCTGCTCGAAGTGTGGAAGCTGTTCGTAAACGGCCGGTGGACCAGTGGGCAGCTGGTGGCAGTTACCTATTTCAACTATCAGCTACTCATATTCCCGGGGGTACGTTCGGTGAGTTGGTCTAGTCGTATCTCCACCTGTCCTTTTAACGTGTAAAAATTACGCTGTTCCTGCTATAGGTGTGTAGGTGCTATCATATCAGTCCATAGCTACCCACACCCGTAGCCTTATCCCTTGATTTCAATATCCGAAATATTCCTACACTAGCCGGGGACTGCCAAAGGGTGCATTTCCATAGTGCAGCATACAGGGATAGCCGCCGGTTTGTGTCTCATTTCATTTAGATTAGTTTCCCAAGTGACCGGGACCTTGTTATCTCGTGATTGGTAAAGACACAAAAAATAGGAGTGTTTATTTAGAAAAATAATGTAAAATAAGTTACTCTTTGGGTCATTAACATTGTGCTTGTATGTAAGTTATATAAATGATTTCGTAGTTGAAAAAATCCATATTTATCGTTCTTATTTCGAAAACTCTGGATCGCATTGATTTTGTAGGCATATTTATATTTTTCATTTTTCATGTGTATACACGGACTTAACGCCTCTCTCAGGGAGACGGGGGAATTACCAGGTGCATTAGGTAACATACAATTGTAAATCAAAACTTGAAAAGTTATCAAAAAAACTATTAAAAAATGATTAACATAGAAAAAGTAACAATTTATTACATATAAATATAATGACGTACATAAAATACGTCCTGTGCAACTAAATTAAAATATGGGAGAACCATGCTTTGGCACAAATGGGACGCCTCATTTGGAGTGATACCTCGGCATCACAGACAACCGGCATGGAACAATCACAGAGTTCTATTTCGCTGTGTGAGTACGGTTACCGATGGCCCAACCCTTTGC